TGAAAAATGTATTAAATAAAACCTTTTTTTTATTCCAAATGTTCTAAACATGAACAACCTTGTTATTTTGGAAAATATAAAAGAATAAAAGTAAAGAATAAACTAATAAATTAAAATAAATGTATAATAAAATAAAAAAACAAACTGTAAATTACTTTAAAAACCCAATATAAACTTTGTACAAAATATAAAGTAGTTATAGTAAGTGTAGTGAAATGATTGGGGTCCTATACTGCTTCCAGAATTGTTGCTTACGGGCCTTGGCTTGTGCAAATGCAGACATAAGTCCTCCAGATCCAAAGACCTTCACACACTATACTCTATGGAAATAAGCGCCAGTCCTGAAAGTCTCTCTTGAGACATGGAAAATGAATCATTTTCCTTCAGCTTAGTTACATAATTGCTTTCCAATTTACTGAACGATAGGCCTACAACGTCACCCATTCGCTAGGCTACGTTCATTTTCATTAAGGGAAGTCATCCACCTGGGCAGGGCTGGATTTTGACTGGCCAAAGCCAATGTCAATCAACATTCCATCCAATCTGAATTTTTATATGCAGTTGTGCATCTCCTCAGTTACTATAGCGTTGCCACTTCATGCTCGCCTGTTGCTGTTTATCTACCGTGTGTACAGTAGCTGGCTCTTGGGGGCCCCCCAGCGGCTCGGGGCTCCAAGCAGTTGCTTGGTTTGCCTGTTGACAAGGTGCGCCTCTGGCAGAGAGTGATTAGTCTCTTTATTAGTCAGACTTTCTCATAAAATGCCACCATGAAGGGCTGACAGGCCCTTGAGCTTAACGACTACCAGAGCACTCACACAGGACAGCGATATTGGAAAGATGACAGATAATGAATGAATGCTGTGAAGATTTATCTGTTGTTTAACTTTACTGCAACACTTGAATGTTTAATTCTATTATGATTATTACATTAGACTGTCTTTACATGAGGCCATGATGTTAGGGGTTTTGAAAAATGTACTTAATTCTTCACAAATGAGGTCAAATTTTTATTTTTAAACAGTTTATCTAAGCTGACTTCTCACTAGCTAACCTTATGTTTGATATCATCTTTTTATATCTGAAACGTGTGTGACAGAAAGCAAAATACTGAAGAAATCATTAAGGCAAACTAATGGATTTTCCATTTGTGTCTTTTTTTCTTTCACAGCTTTCATATACTCTATACAGAAGGTTCATATTTGTCAAGTGCGAGAAGGAGAAAAGCTTTTTTTTTATTCACAAATGATACTTGACTTTTGTAATAAACTTTACTCAAAAACCTCTAAAATAACTCAAATAGCTCTAAATAAAATCTAACGCAAGCAGTTGCCTTTACAGTTCACATTTCAGTAGCAGACCCTACATGTGGGTAATTATCTCAGTATAAATCGAATTGTTTTGTGAGGTCCAAAGAGGTTTGTTAAATAACATGAGGGACCAAACAGCAGCAACCAGGAATCACCACATAGAGGACTGAGAAAACTTTGTAGGAAGGTTTAAAGTAGAGTTATGCTATAAAACAAAATTTAAAAACCATTTACTCACATAGTACTGTTTACTGTTGAAATGGAACTGCATAACTGCAAACTTACCAAGACATGACCATCCATCTAGAATGACAGTTTACATAAAGAAATAAAAGAGAGTATTGAGTAGTTCACAAATCTAGCCTTGAGGGAAAACTTACAAAAAGAAAGCCATTAAAAAAGGGTCAGCAGAAATTCCACTTGCAGTTTTCCATGTAGGGGTCATTGCAAACATGTAACAGAAGAAACATACAAAATACTATATGTAGTGTTGTGGCAGCAGACTCAAGACAATTCAAATGGTAAATGGCCTATACTTACATAGTGGTTTTTCAAGTCAGAAGACTTGACCAAAGCAATTTACACTACATTCAGTCATTCACCCATTCACGCACACTGATGGTGGCAAACTACATTGTAGCCACAATGCTGCCCTGGGGCTTACTGACAGAGGCGAGGCTGCCGTAACGTGATGGCACCAGACCCTCCCACCACCATCAGTATGCAATGCCGGTGAAGTTTCTTGCCCAAGGACACAACGACACTGTCAGAAGGCTCACAACATAGCACCCAGAATTCAGGCAAGACAGGCAGCGATATATTCAAAAGAGCGTTTATTAGTAGCGTGCGGCTACTCGCCTGCTGCAATGGGCTCATTGGAAACTCTGCAGGAGTAAAGGCTCAGGTCAGTGACCTCCAAACTCAAGCGATGGATACAAATCAGTATTAAAGCCACCAACTTGGAAAAGTTCCTTCTGTGCCAAGACGAAGGAAAGTTGTCCTGAGAAGCTGAGCTTTTCACTGAGCGGAGACCAGAGAGCCAGGAGAAAGAAGCAGCCAGAACATGCATGGGAACTGAGAGATAAAGGAGGGTAATCCAAGCCGTGGTCAGAACCCAGGTCCAAGGACGACATCATGCGGAATCCAGGTAAAAGTCCAGAAACACAGAAGAGGCAAACAGAGCAAACAGGGGCGGTCGAAAACTCAGAAGTCCGCGGACTGAAACAGATCGGGAACTGGCAGAACTTAAACCAGGGAACGCTAGACTTAGTCCCGCTGAGAAGCGGGACTAAGAATGTGGCACCAAAGGCTGGAGTCTAGAGGCTCAAATAGCAGCAGGTGCAAGAGAATAAGATGAGAGCTAAGGAGTGGAGGGTGCAGAGCAACATGGATAAAACACTGAACGCCGGAGCTTGAACCGACTACCCTCCGGTTGCAGGTCCAATCTTTGAGTCATGTCTCAATCAACAATGGTGGAATGTGAAAACACCACAGCAGTTGTCGATACCAATTTTTAAATAAATTGTTGAAGAGAGCATTTCCGACCATAGTACCAACAATGTTCTCCCCTTTGACTGCATTATCTCTTTATACATTTACCTCTTTGCATTCACTGCTGCTCCCGTCACCTCAAACAGAAGCTGAAAAACGTTTTTCCTACTAAGAAGGTTAATGTTGGCTTTGATAAAGTCTGGTGGGTTTGATTTGATAGAAACCCACAAAACCAATCTGACTGTATGACTACACTGAAAGGGGTCCCTGTAAAGGGCCTTGGAATGACATGTTTTAGAAATGGCATTATACAATACACTGAATTGAACTGCATTGAATTGATATTGACTGCATTTAAAAGCACCTGCAAAATGCATAACTACATCTTTGTTCAACAGAGAAGTTTATTAAAGAAAACATTAACAGTTTAATGTTAGAATAAAATGTGTTTTGTGATAAGATCATCATACTGGTGCATTTAAAAATAAAACTGATTCTAAGCAATGCAAGCAAACAGAAAAACACCTTTGACAATGTTGTACTAAATTCATTTGGGGAACATAATATAGTAACTCCATTTAATTTATTCTGGGAAAATAAGAAATCAGGTTACACAGCAATAAATGCCTCCGACAGCAATTAAAACTGAAGTGATTGTGTCTGTGCCTTAGTGTGAGTATCCGCTACCTGTGAGGAAAATGGGTGCATGACTATGCATAATACATACGGTATTTAAAGAAGACTTAGACTTTTTCCCTCAATTTCTGCATTAGCATTTGTTCAAATGACCTCTGAAAGCAACCTTTCAGAAATCCAAAGCAGATATAGTGACAGAAGGTCAATGGCCACTTGCAAAATAAACTACACAGCAAAATTCTTTCAGAAGAAGGGAAATGAGTCAAATGAAGACGTTACAATAAAGCAAATTCAGGCTATTTTACAACAAACAGATCTGACCAATGTTTATTATTTTCTAAACCAATGCGGTTCTGAATTCAGCCCTTGGTTTATCTTTCAGGCTAGCTAACCAAAATATTAGCACTAAATACAAGTATTGGCAACTCACTCAATAATGTTAAAGACTACAACTACCTTGGTTTTCTGAACTAAATTAAGTTATTATTATTCCTATATTTAACAATTCATCTTTCAATCAAGTTTACACAAATGATAACAGTTCTTCAGCCCAAAAAAACAGAAGTTGTGTGTTTACAGTCAAGAATAGACTTGTCAAAATTTTACAAGGACCAGAGTTAAAAAGATAGTCCCCAACTTTTTTTTTACTTTTTTACCCATTAAATCCATTAGCATGACTTGATATATATATATATATATATATATATATATATATATATATATATATATATATATATACATGTATATATGTATATATATTATGCACACAAAATGGACCCTAATCAATAGTAGCTTAAGAGCAACAAAAATGCTAAAAGGGGTCTTTATCAAAGGTTAATGTTAGCATATGGGGAGGAAAAAATTGGCCAAATTGGCTCTAAAACAGAGCTAATTTGGTGCAAAAAAAAGTCTTAATGCAGCATCAGGCAGGTTTAATTGTATCCCTAACAGGTGTATGGGGCTGAGGACCTGTCAGAGTGTCAGAGCTAAATCTGAAAGGACCCACAGCTGAAGTGTTTGGATCAAAGGGGACTGGTGAGCAATTAAGGAGGATAGACTGGTCTGAGGATTTTATTTTATTTTTTTATCATGTGAAAGGCTGCTTGTTCTTTTTTTTTTCATCCTTCATTTTTACTTTGGGAAGAGAGAGCATCAGAGTACAATATGAGATGATGGGGAAACAACAAAGGCAACATGCTGCTTTGTACCAAGAGGTACTTCATGTTTTAAACATGTCTCTGCTCCAAAGACTACTTTCATTCTTTCAGGTATTGACATGCCTTTGATACCTAAAAAACTAGCCCCTTTTATCACAAAGAGACTACCTGATGGGGAGAGGCTATTTAAGATGTGTAATCCCCCCTGCTGTGTAAAAGAGAACAAAACAAAGTGTTCAGGGTAATGGGATTTTTAGTCAGTCTGCCTCTAAATCCTATATCTAATCCATCATCAGCAAGATGTGAAGAAAGTACTTGGTGCTCAATGCCACTGTTTAACATCTCAGAACTATTATATTAATTAAACAAAGTTACATTCTACTAAAACCCAACTATAAATGCAGTTTACCTCATGAAGTGTGTGAGGTTACACCACTGCAGCGGGTCTATGTAAGCCATGACCCGCTTGAAGTCTTCTCCACAGACCTCCACATCCCACCGTAGACGGGATTCGTTGCATAATCTCCTCTGCCAGGTAATAGTGGGCTCTAAGTTGAAACTGTCAGAGGCTGACAAGAAATAAAGAAAAGGCAAAGCATTTATAAGCCTTATGCTGTTCTGTATGAGCCACTTTAAACAAAAGGGGGAGAAATCTAGGAGGAAATGAGGCAAAGGTGGAAATGTAGGTGTGGGATGAAAGCTTCAGATCAGTAGTACTTTTTTGTTAATGCAGTTATGGGATGGATGGATGGATGGATGGATGGATGGATGGATGGATGGATGGATGGATGGATGGATGGATGGATGGATGGATGGATG